AGGATCCTCTAGCTGCCCTAGCCTCCATCCCGGTCTGGCTCCTCTGAGAGCCTGGCAGACTGGTGGGGCTGGGTCTCCGGCTTTGGGGCCCCATGCCTCCTCTTGCTCCTGGCAGCAGGCAGAGCCCCAGGCTGTGTGGGCAGGGGTGTCTGGGGCCGGGAAAGGCAATTCCTGTGTGTGTGGGGATCCAGCACCACTGGAGGAGTCTGCTAACCCTTTTCTCCCCCTTGCCCTTCTGAACCCCCAGGTTGTCAAGAAGTAAAAGTGATGGCTGCTGTTGGGGAGACAGTTCAGCTTCAGCCCAAGACATGGCCGTCGTCCTGGGTGGCAATCGACTGGAAAGTGAAACGCGGTTCACAGACTGACTGGCTCCTCAGACAGGACCAGAACGGCACCTCGGCCAGTCTGTTTCTGCCCTTTGCTGACAGAGTCTCTTTCCACCCTGGGAATCTCTCGCTGCAGATTAACTCGGTCACGGAGAAAGAAAGTGGCCTCTACACCATGGACCTGAAGCTGGGGGATGGCTCTGGAATCACCAATAATTTTCATCTGTTTGTGCTTGGTGAGTTTGGGGGTGCCGCTTTCCCCCCACGCTCACGCCCAGGGCACCCAGCCCCTCTCACGGGGACTTCTTCTTCCAGACCATGTCCGGCAGCCCAAGATCAAGGCCTCTACTTCCCAGGAGTGTGGATGGTGCTACCTTACCCTGTCCTGCTTGGTGCCCAAAGCTGCCGGGGTCACCTACAGCTGGTCTCGAGGTGAATCTTCCAGCCCAGCCCCAGAGGACCATTCGCTCCATGAGCATCAGGCTGATCTGCAGCTGGAGATCACTAAAAGCGGCAACAACACCTTCTATCACTGCAATGTCAGCAATGCCATCAGCTGGGGCATGGCCACCATCGATGTCAAACCGCTGTGCAACTACACAAGTAAGTGCCCCCTTTGCACCAGACATACGAGGGGGGCCAGGGATGTTTAGCATCTTCCTGGGTCCTGTGGAGCTGGTTTGTGAGTCTGGCCTGAATGAAACCAGAGGAAGGGGCCAAGTATCTGTGAGGATGCTCTAGCTGCCCCAGCCTCCATCTTAGTCTGGCTCATCTGAGAGCCTGGCAGCCAGGGCTGGATTTCGGGCCTTGGAGCCCTGTGCCTCCTCTTGCTCCTGCCAGCAGGCAGAACCCGAGGCTGTGTGGGCAAGGGTGTCTGGGGCTGGGAAAGGCAATGCCTGTGTGCGCGGAGATCTAGCACTGCTCTCCTTAATCCATGTTGCTCCTTTGCTCCGGAGAGAAGTAAGGAGCTGAGGTGTCTGCGAAACCTTCTCTCCCCCTTGCCCTTCTGAACCCCCAGGTTGTCAAGAAGTAAAAGTGGAGGCTGCAGTTGGGGAGACGGTTCAGCTACAGCCCAAGACATGGCCTTCGTCCTGGGTGTCAATCCACTGGAAAGTGAAACTGCATTTAGAGGGCTACTGGATCCTCAGACATGATCAGAACATAACCTCGGCCAATCCATTACTGCCCTTTGCTGACAGAGTCTCTTTCCACCCTGGGAATCTCTCGCTGCAGATTAACTTGGTCACCGAAAAAGAAAGTGGCCTCTACACCATGGACCTGAAGCTGGGGGATGGCTCTGGAATCACCAATAATTTTCGTCTGTTTGTGCTTGGTGAGTTTGGGGGTGCAGCTTTCCCCCCATGCTCACCCCCGGGGCACCCAGCCCCTCTCACGGGGACTTCTTCTTCCAGACCGTGTCCGGCAGCCCAAGATCAAGGCATCTACTTCCCAGGAGTGTGGATGGTGCTACCTTACCCTGTCCTGCTTGGTGCCCAAAGCTG